CTGTTGGTTTTTTAAAAGAACAACAACAGGGAGAAGTTGTCTGTAGGCAGAACTTGGCAGATTGATGAAGATTTAAGCACCACTACCTATAAATTCGGAGCTGCGGTGGCTCAAGCGGTTAAGACGCTGAACTGCAGGCTGTGGAAGGTCAGTAGTTTAGCTCTTGTCTCTAGTTCCAGCTCCTGCCAACCTAGCAGTTCGAAAGCAAGAAATTGCAAGTAGATAAATAGGTACCACTTTGGTGGGAAGGTAACAGCGTTGCGTGCGCCTTGGTGTTTAGTCATGCCGGCCACATGACCACGGAAACGTCTTCGGACAGCGCTAGCTCTTCGGCTTTGAAACGGAGATGAGCACCGCAACCCTAGAGTCGGATTCGACTGGCTTTCGAGCAAGGGAACCTTTACCTTTACCTACAAATTCTATTTTACATATCCCCCTGCCATATATTCCTGTTAATTGTTGTAGTTCTGTCCTATGTGTTTTAGCAGTAAAATATTATTGAAATAATTATGCAGATTAATTCAAAGTATTATTAGGCCTGTTTTCAAACCATGACAATTATCAGGCCTATTTTCAAATTATGACACTGCCAGAAATAAGTTTTTGTAGTTGAGGTTTCTCTGGCTAACAGGTGGCTCTTGATGAGTTGTTCAGAATGGGTGAATGCACTTGAACATTTTCATTACTTTCAAGATTTTTTAATTATTGCTTTTACCAAGCTTTTGGAATAGTTTCAGGGTTTATTTAGGGGGGGGGAATGCCCCCAAAAGAGTACAGCAAACATGGCAACCTTCAGTGGCAAAAATCTAAGTGACTACTTAATCCAGCTTCAAACGCATGACAGCACACGGCCTCACTTCATTCGACATTCACTCGATCATTTTGCAGGCTACTCAGAGCTTTTGCTATTCAGCACCATGCAAGTGGCCATGCATTTATTCAGGGCGCTGAAAATCCCAGTCTGAAAAAGATAAATGACAGTCAAAACGCCAAAATGCAGACAGCTTCCAAATTGCCAGTTGAGTAAGATCCTTTGAATTTTTGCTCTGTTTCTTCATCTGGGAGTATCTGTGCCTGTTACTAGTGAAAACTAACCAGAAGAAATATAAGGAAGAAACATCATCTTCAACAATGGAGAGGGCATAGGGTTTCTTTAGTCATCCCTTGTTGATGTCTAAAGCTACTTTACATTAACCCCTCTACTTAACTTTTCGCTATTAGTTCCCTGGTGAAAACATCAGTAATCTTTCTGTTGAAAGCTTTCAGTCCTTCCTTATTGCATACGATTGCCAAATTTATTTATACATGAAGAGAGACTGTTGGCCTATGCTATCCAGGTATTTTGAGATTGTGGACAGAGGTCTTTCCCTGCTGCTTACCTGAGGTTCTTTCTACTGTAGATAACACCTGGGACCTTCTGCATGCACTGCTGAGATGTAATTCATTCCTGAAATACAGATGAATAATCCATGATCACCATTCACTTGGCAAAACCTTTTTCAAAACCTCAGCTGCAGATTCCATAACTTCTACAGTTTTACAAGTTTTATTCTCACTTTTCATAGTAGGGGGTTGCTTCAGTATCAGTTATAGTTAGATAGTTCAAAAATGAAACAGGCCTTGTTGTGTTTGCAGACTTTTTGGATATTTTAGAATTTTATAATACTAACATAGGCTGCGATCACATGGAGCATTAGCCACACTACAGAGACGGAAGATAGGTGGATTTTCTGGGCGCAATCACAGCAATCACAGCACGTGGCGAACCCGAGGCTTCCCGCCGAAGATGCGGGGTAAAAAACTAGTACCTCCAAGGTACTAGTTTCCAGAAACCGTGGGGCAAGGGCGGGTGCCTGATCGCGTTTCCGGTGGTAGGTCGTGGCATCTGGCACCCGCCCATGTCCCCTCGCAAAAAGGGTTTTTCCCCCAAGTCTCCACGGGAAGCGCACAAGCACCCAACGGCGCATGCGCACACTTCAACCCCCTCCTCTTTTCCGTATCCCCCGAATCCTGGCTCGGCCTGCTTGAGAGGAACTCTCTGCATCGGGTGGCAGGGGGGGAGGTGCAGAGGGGTGTGGTGGGAGGGCGGTCCGGCTGAAGCTCCTCCTGGAGGGGAACGGAAGGAGGACACAGTTTGCATTCCTCTGCAGCCCTGGAAGGGGTTAAACACACGGAGCCTTTTGCTAGAGAGGCCGCTTCTTTGCTGCACCGCAGGATTGTCCTGTGATTGGCACATCCTCCCTAACCACGGGACCTCGACGGGACCTCTACGGGACGTCTGATCGCGCAGCCACGCGTTATTTTGCTCCGGGGCAAACAGCCACACTTCCCCCCCATGTTTTCCTGCCTGTGTGACCGGGGCCATAGTTACTTTTGTGTAGTGGGGCAAACACCAAAGACCCAGTTCTGTTTGGCTGAAGGCCTCTTTATTAACAATAACTGTAGGTCAGGTAACTTGGCTATTGGAATAAGGGATTACGGCCCCGTTCACACAGGATTTGCCGCACTAAAGGCACAAATGTCAGGCAGATTTTCGGGGCGCGATCACACCACAACATCTGGGAAGCATTGCACACCCGTGGCCAACCCGTGGCATCCCACCAAAGACGTGCAGTAAAAAACTACCTCAGAAAGTGCACTAGTATCCAGAAAATGTGGGGCAGGGGTGGGCGTCTGATCACGGGAGTGCTAGTATCCCGTGGCATCCGCCGCCCATCCACATCCCATCGCAAACCGGATGTTTTTCGTAAGCACATGCACACAAACACGTAACTGAAAGCAGTGCTCTGTAGAACTGCGCATGTGCACAAATACGAAATGCTTGCTGCACCGCTTCTTTGCCACGCTCCAGCATCGCCATGTGATCGCCAGCTAACAGTCTAAGCGCAAAGACTCGGGGGACCGTGTGATCAGGCTACCATGCTTTATTTTGCTCTGGGGCAAACAGCCACGCCTCCCCCCCCGGTCTTATCTGGCCCGTGTGACCGGGGCCTACAATACTTAACAAAGTTGTTTCTAGAGTTGTAGGCCAGGGTTGTCCTGGCCTGGTTCTGCAGATTCTGCACTGAGTCCCCCCTACTCTCCTGCTTGCTGTGAGGTCTACTGGGATAGCCTCTTAAAGAGGCAGTGCACAACAGGGCAGTCAACATGAGCGGAACTCTCTCCCACTGAAATCAAAGGCACATAAAAGAGCTTATCAATAATTACTGGGAAATTGCTTAATTTACTTTCTCATTTCTCTATGAAATATGTGAAGAAATGTATTTTTTCTTTTTTCTTTGGCAGTATGAAATGAGCAAAATCTTCACTCTGAGTTTTTAAAGTCCCCCCCCCTTCTCTGGGTAAAGAACAGGCAAAGTGGAGGAAGTCAGTTCAGTTGCTTTCCAGATTTACCTCAGCCCACCTTCACACAAATGCTAATATGTCTAGAGTCTAGACAATGAAATGGTCAAGCTCCTCCCCCTTCAAGCAGGGAACAGATACTGGAGAGAGTAGGAAAGCTTCTCTGACCTGGTCAGTGAATGTGGAAAAGAGAGATGATAAAACTCAGGAGAGCAAGGAGGAAGTTCTCTTTGGTGCTGTGTCCATCAGAGCAGACAGAACTCTTAACTGAGGTCTGGAGGAGGCAACCATTAAACATGTGCTGGCCTGAGAGGTGAAGGAAGCTGCAAGGTAATGGAACCTGTAGAACTGTATAGCATCTTATGCTAAGGAGCCTAGCCTATATTTTAACATCCGATAGGGCATGTATAGAGAGAGGGACAGAGGAGTTGCATTTTACCCATTTCTTTTGAATTCCTTGCTCAATCTGGTGCTGTGCTAAAAGTATGCTTGTGAAAATTTTCTTTTTAATAAATACTTTATAACTTCTTATGCTGGTAGTGGTTCAATGTACCACATAGACCTCTACCATCTTGGGGAAGGCAGTCATTTGGCAAGTGGCTATTCCTCCAGGGGAGCACAAGGCAGTAAATGGTCCCCGTTTACTGCCTTGTGCGCCCATGGTGACCAGGCGCTGGGCAGTGAAAGACACAGAGGCAAGGCCTCAGAACTTGGAAGAGAAGCTGGGAATCCTGACCCTCTCAGTGGGCAATTCCTTACAAAGTTCAGGTGGTGGCAGTGGTTACCTGAGAGAGAAAGAAAAGCCTCTCCATGTGTTGGGAAAACCTTGGAGGGCAAGGGGGAACAGGGCCTGCAGGCCAGAGCAGGCCCATTCTGTTACAAAATATATAACTTTCATATCTTCATGTCTATAATTACAAAAATCATAGCTAAATGCTTCTAAAGCTAAATAAAAGTAATGTAATCATAGTATTATTTCAATACCCAGCGGTGGGGACTTCCATCAGGTCAATGGGACATTGAGTTGGATAATTTCATTGCATGCCTAGTAACTGTTAACTTGTGAACTAGTATTTTTGTTTTTTTATGAGAATATTTCCTTCTGTATACATGGTCTTGCAAATATATTGCTTTTTAAAAACTGATTCCCTTTTACTTAATATGCCAATATAGCCCAACAAAAATGCTGGAATGCCCATGAGGTTAGATCTCTTCAACTAAGTTAGAAGAACTCTCTCTGTTGGAGGACATCTTGTTGGAATGAAGTCATAGGATCCAGTTTAGCAGAATGACGTTGTAGAATCCAGTCTATAGTGATTAAAGGGGTATTTGCCATTGGTCAACTTGCTAGTTGAACCTATTTATTAAGAGACATTTTTCTTGATGTATTTTATTGTATTCTGATAAAAGGATTTAGCAAGGAAATTTATGATGAGGTCTTTGAATCAAAACTTCTATGATGAATCAGAGAAATGCATGTTGAATCCATTGCCCCGAAAAATTTCTTTCTTTTGTACTTTCCCATTTCATTTGTTTGAAAAAGTTTATCATTCTCATGTTTTCTCATAATTTATTCACTTCCTCTGCAATTCACAAAGTTTTTTTAAACTTAAATTTGCTAATTAAAATTTCGTCTTGTCTTGTTTTGTTTTTTCCAGCTCTCGTAAATGTGAAACTTTGGGCTATTGATCGGCAATGTTTTCAAACAATAATGATGAGGACTGGCCTCATCAAGCATACAGAGTATATGGAATTTTTGAAAAGGTATGGCACTTATTTATTTTTTGGAACGCACACTAAATTTGCTGCCCGCACTTCTTGGGGCTCTTTTTTTTTGTGAATGCAGCGTAATGAGTGCTCATCTCTCCTCATCCCTTTTAATTTTGTGTTTTACCCACATGTATGCCATAAGAACTTGGAGAAAGAAAAATAATAAATGAAGATCATAGCCTCATTACGGTTCACTTCTTCTAATTGTAATTGTTCATCTGCCTGGTTGTTTTGTAGGAAAATGGCACCTGCCATTATAATGGTATCAAAATATAGTACACGTATAAGGAACAAGCATTTATATGAATTAATCAAAGATCTTTTATTTGACAGAATATATATCAAAGAAGTAAAATAATAATCTTTCATGGAAATGGTACATAGACTAATGTGCAAACTGTTCCACTTAAAGCATATTTTTGCATATCTCCCAAACAGAGGAAAATTATAAGGCTTAAGTGAAACAAAAGTGTTTTTGCTTCAGGCATCTACAATATGGGTCATTTGACTCAGAGAAGAGAGGGATAATGAGATGCTTTTTCATCCTTTAAACTTGAATTTTAGCTCTCCAAATTTATTCAAGTATTTCTGCCTTCCTAAAACATCATAGAGCTGACAAAATGTGGTGCTGCATAATTCTACAATATTTAAGCCAATTAATGTATTAAGCAAATATTAGTTATATTTTAATAAAAATAATGAGGAATACAGCAAAGATAAGAACTATGTGGCCCACGTTAAGAGAAAAAAGCGAAGAAAACCACAGAAGTCCACTGGGGAGGTATAAGTAACCACGAAATCACTTGGGTTGCTTAGCAACAGTGTTTCTGTTAGCCTTGAGGCCTACTCCTATTGAATCTCTTTTATTCCAGTAACAGATTTGTCACTGTGTGTCAAACTAGCGAAGCGAGGAACAAAGATTAAGTTTTGTGAATAAAGCGTGGAGTAAATATATTGAACCCATTCCCAATATAAAACTAATAAAGTCTTTGATTAATTTGAAATAGTAAAAAAATGAATCCACAAATAATAAATATACCTACAGCCCAATCCAGTCCTAAGTTGCTGCACACACACACACAAAACTGCCTTATACTGAATCAGACCATTGGTCCATCAGTATTATTGTCTGCTGAGACTGTCAGCAGCTCTCCAGTTGCTTATGGTCTCTAACATCACTTCTGCTCCTTCCAGATTCTGTTTTTTCTCTCCAGCTGGAGATGTAAGGGATTGAAGCTAGGACCTTTTGCTTGCCACACATATGCTCTACCACTGAGCTATGACCCCTTCCTAAGTTAGGTGTGTCTGTGGCCATAATTAAAAATATCCTGAGCTGCTACTCCCCCCCCACACACACACAATACATTTTGTTCAGTCCTAGAAATAGTATATGGACTGACTTGGATGAGCACCAGAAGTGAAGCTGTCACCTAAGCAGCACAGAGGAAAACCCTATGAAATAAAGCCTGGAACAGATTGTTTTCCCTACACAGTCTCTCCCTAAGAAATACACAAGCTACTCTGCAATAGCAGGCTACCAATAGCTCACAAGGTACCTCTTGGAGACTCCTGAATTAGACTGTATAGCAAATGACTAGGGCATAAATCCCATTGAACTCAGTTTTAGGATTACATTACATGACTCCTCAGTTCCCTCCTTAATGTCAAATCTTCTGTGGACAGAAATAAGTAAAATGGATACAGTTGTGACCAGTTTCCTTCCTTGAGGGCTGCATATTTCAGATATAAGTCCTGGTCCATAAGTTTGTATGGGCTGCCCTCAGCACAGGGATTTCCCTATTCAGGCTTACCCAGCATGGTAAAGCTCTAAATGTCTTCTGGTTCAACTGAGATTTTTTTTTAATTTAAAAAAGGTAAATACCTTGCAGATGTAGAAGATTGGCATGCACATCAAATTTTCCACATCTGTTAGATATCTCTAGATTGGCATGCAGCAATATTTTATTCCACAATCTCTCCCCACCCCAGTATGTACAGGAACTAATGTTGCCAGTCTCCAGGTGCTAGCTATAGGTCTCCTGGAATTACAACTGGTCTCCAGGTAAAAAATATCAGTTGCCCCAGAGAAAATGGCTGCTTTGGAAGGTAGATTTTATGGCATTATATCCTACTGAGGTCCCCCCTTCCCAACCCCCCCTCCCCAGGGTCCACCTCCAAAATCTCCAGGAGTTTCACAACCCAGAGCTTGCATCCCTAGTAGTAGCAGTGGTGGGTGTGTTATGCACATTTTATGGTTAGCAGTTTACACAGGTTCTCTTTTGTAACAATTCCTAATATAGTAAAATGAGAATAAAAATGTTATTGTGCACAAATATTGCTAACATTCTTCTGCTTCTACATCAGATAAAAAGACATTTAGCCTCAATCCTGTACACAGAGAAGAAAATTTGACTATATAGTGCAAAACAAGTGGAAACTGCATATTATAATTAAAGGAGTTGGAAAATCTAAATCCTTAATTTATTAAATTTACATGTCTAAAAACATTTTGGAATTTACTAGTTGTGCCATGAACTGTACTCCTCAAGATGTGTGTAATTTTTTCCCTTTTTCATTATTGTCTAAATCCTTCACTATTTGTAAGCAGTGTCTCCACAATAAATCTGTCACAGCAGGTTACCTTGCACAATTCTAAGCTATTACAGGGAGTGACAAAGAGTCTTGACTGGGGTAGAAATACTTCCGCTTGAATGAAACCTCAGGGGATCTTAACAAAGAAATGTGGACTTCAGTTTTGGTGCTGAAATCCACAGCCTTACTTTTCTAGCCATACCATATAAGTAAAATTGTTCTTTTTCTGAACAATATTTTTTTTGTGGAAAACTGAACAAAAAAGCATGGTGAAATGACATGATTCACTGTGAAGTGGAAAACAGCAAACTATGAAAATTCAAGGAAGTTCATCCATAATTTTCATAGTATAATGGTAGATAGCACTGAGACATTAGTTCCAGAATGAAAAAAGGGAACTCAGGTTTCTAGGGTTGCCAGGTTTGATCATTGTGCTGGCGGGGGAGGGGGGGAGGGGCATTCCAGGAGTGGGCAGGGATTTCATGCAATGTGTGAACATCATCTGGAAGTGACATAGGCAAGCCAGTGACATCAGGAGCAACACTCTGGTTTTGGGGCAAAACTCTTTGGTAAAATCACCTTCAAACTATAAAGTTTTGTCCAAAAAACAGAGCATTCTGTCCCATGTCACTGACATGCCTACATTACTTCCAGGTGACATGAGCATGTTGCACACAACATTGCTGTTTGGGGGTGGGGGGATTTCCTCTGCTGGCCAACCGGCCACTAGCAGGATGGAGCCCATGAAAGTGGGGAATCCCTTGCCCCCCACCTGGGGAATGGTAACCCTTGAGATTACTGTCTGTTTCCTTGAGTGAGTTCTGAGGCCTCAAAAATCTGTCAATTGACAACCTGTTTTCACAACTTCTTATTAGTACAACAGCAGTTTACATGATGAGTGACGCTCCCTCTAAGCTGTGGAGTCCTGAGAGCAATAAATAAATAAATGTGTGAACTGGAGGCTAAAAAACTGTGAGCTAGCTCACACTAACTCAGCTTAGAGGGAACACTGAAGATGAGCCCTGAAGAGCTTTATGATCTGCTAATCAGCATCATTTGGTGGCCCCTGGCCCCAGGGACATCCATCTTGCCTTAACTAGGGCCAGGGCTTTTTCAGCTCTGGCCCCTACCTGGTGGAATGAGCTCCCATATGAGATCAGAGCCCTGCAAGACCTCTTACAGTTCCACAGGGCCTGTAATATGGAGCTCATCCACCAGGCTTTTAGGTGAGGTGGCGGGCATCCTTCTTCTATCTCTCAGGCCTCCCCTTCAGTGGATCATATCTGTGCAACATCTAGAGCCCCAATTTGTGATAGACCTATCTGTTGAGGCTTTTGTTAGCTATATGGGAATTATTATTGTATTTTATCTGATGTATTTAACTGTTTGTATATTATAGCTGATGGAACCCATCCTAAACCTGTTATCTAATAAAATATTTTTTTAAATTAAAATAGTTCCCCCCCCCATACATGTCTGTCTAGAAAATTAGATGTCAGGGAGAATTCTTGTGCTTATATAAGCCAGTTGACCACCTTTGGTCTGACATAATACAACCCTAGAAAAGGTTCCAAGAGATATACGCTTATGTATTTAATTGGATTTTTATCCCACCCTTCCTCCAAGAAACGTAGCTAGGAGTAACAAAGTACTTGAAAAATTATTTATTCAAAAAGTTTGCTGTGGGTTGGAATAAAAGATACCCAGAAACTTAACAACCTGGACTTGTGCATAGTCCTAGCTCATAGTGCTGCAGGTTCACATGAAATTTGTGATATAATGCACAATAGAGAAGGAGGAAGCCAGTGGAACAGGGAATGGCACAATGGAGCCAGTGTGGTTAGTGGTTAAAGTGTGGTTAGTGGTTAGAATCTTGGAGACCCATATTCAAATACCCACTCTGCACTGTGTGACCTTGGACCAGTCACTATCTCTCAACCTAACCTAATTTACCCTAACTGAGTTGCTGCTGTGAAGATAAAATGGAGGTGTCAAGTCCTGGACTCAATCACTCTCACAACACTCTTGTAGCAGCAAGATTTGTTTATTCGGACGTAAAGAGATTCCAAGCATAGACAGATTCTGTGTCACTGGCCACCAGATTCCAGGTCCAACCCTGTACAAAAAGCAGGGCAGCCCCCCTTGCAAACCACCCAATCAGTGTTCTCAGTCAGCCTGCCAAAGTTCTAGGCCTACCCTCAGGGCCGGCCCAACACCTGCAAATGAACAATTACGTTCCAAGGTCAAACGAGCTGAGATCATGTGTTTCCCATGGTCCAGTACGTACTACACAAGCTCAAGAAGACATTCGCACCAGCATCCACCACCACCCCCAATCCTGGCAGAGAAGATAAACGGCATGGAAGATAAAAAAGTGAAAGAAGCATGTCTAAGAAAGCAAT